GAAAGCTAGATAGTCGTTATGTACCCGACAGTCGGCTGCCTTTATATTTTCACCTGTTTTCAGTTTGCATTCAAAGGGTACATTGCTGCACAGCCAACTGTCGGGGATATAGTACCTTCATATGAATACTCATTAGTATACAACAGAAAAAAAAAACGTCGCATGGACTTAGTGAAAAATGGAGATCTAAATGAAAAAACGATGTATTTCAGCAAGTATTAAAACATTTTAGTTTTATTTTAGGCCTTCTTCAAAATACCTATGCCTACAGCAGATGATTTTCTTGCCGTAAAACCAAAATAGTTTCATCCATGCCGACATTCCGGTCGGTTAGCGTGAGCCCTGAATGAACTCTGCAGAAACTTCACATCGATCTTCGCATCGCGATGTAAAACAAAATGTCGGAAAACTTTTCTTTGACGCATGCGCATTTGCATAAATGTCTACACACACACAGATAGTCGTTATGTACCCGACAGTCGGCTGCCTTTATATTTTCACCTGTTTTCAGTTTGCATTCAAAGGGTACATTGCTGCACAGCCAACTGTCGGGGATATAGTACCTTCATATGAATACTCATTAGTATACAACAGAAAAAAAAAAACATCGCATGGACTTTCAGCAAGTATTAAAACATTTTAGTTTTATTTTAGACCTTCAAAATACCTATGCCTACAGCAGATGATTTTCTTGCCGTAAAACCAAAATAGTTTCATCCATGCCGACATTCCGGTCGGTTAGCGTGAGCCCTGAATGAACTCTGCAGAAACTTCACATCGCGATGTAAAACAAAATGTCGGAAAAATTTTCTTTGACGCATGCGCATTTGCATAAATGTCTACACACACACTCACACACTACACACAATAAAAAACATAGGAAATAGCAAGAGTGATTCCACGTTAACCACAAGACAAAGGGTAGTCCGATTATAGTGGATGCTACCGTAAATGGAAAGCTAATCCCGTTGGAGCTGGATACAGGCTCATCAGTTTCTCTCATACCAGAAACGACCTACAAGAAAATATTTAACTCTATGCCACCATTACAACAAACCACGATTCGTTTGAAAACGTATTCTGGCGAGAAGATCATACCCCTTGGCATGCTCACTGCAGTTAAGGTTACCCCGACTGAAACTTTGAGCCCAAATAACACACAACCATTAACCGAAACTGATGCTTCAAAACCAGAAAGCCTTACTTCGACAGACATCAAGGAAACATACATGCCTACCACAATCACACCAACTACGGAACCACCATCTACACTGAAAGCAGAACATGTACGACGTTACCCAAGGAGAGAAAATGTTTGCCCACCAGACAGACTAAACTTGTTATTTTAGTTCAACTGATGTTCATTTTATTCAGAGTTAACTGTACAACTGAACTTTAATTCATATAAATAATAACTACTAAATACTGTACAATACTGATGATTGAACTTTAATTGTAACTACACCAGAATTGTAACTGAAAATCTAATCAGTTGATAACCAGTATGCACTGCAACCTACCTTAAAGACAAGCATTGTTACAAATGTTTATTTCTTTAAATTTATAAATAATATGGAAAGTATTTTCAGGACAAACATTATCATCGACGAATTCGATAAAGCAGTTATCAATACACCAAATGGTAAATACTATTTTTTGTGTTAAACTACAAATAAAATGGCATCATTTCCTTTTGAATGCCAAATTAATAAAAAAGTATTAATTTATTAATTACCGTAGTGCTGTATATATTTATTAATGTCTTTAAGCTTTGACTGTCAATACAAAGAGCACAATAGAAGAGATGGAACACAGTCATCCCGACATTTCAGGTATGATCATTACGATTATAATTCTTCTGAATGTATAAGAAAATGTTACAGTTAACAGATTGATAATGTTTTTTAAAGTTTTACAGAAACGGACGTGAGTGGCGTTGATTTTGATTCCGAAAGCTGTTTTTTGTTTATTCCTGAAGAATACATAAACGGTAGGCGTTCGTTTAATTTGAGAACCACTCCCATGATCCTTTTACCGTCGACACCACTATGTTTATTATTATTGTTATTTTTCGACATGTAATTCGACACTAAATCTGTATATGCCCTAAAAAATGCAGATTTTGAAAAGATGAAAATTATGTTGAATAATTTTAATTGGGAAAATTGTTTTCTGTTTGAAAACATTAGTAACATTTGGGAAAGTATTATAAGTTATATAAATAAGGCAATTTCTGAATCAGTGCCTATTAAGAAAAGAAGTAAGACCAAATCATTTCCATGGATTACTACAGAAATTAAGAAATTAAAGACACAGGAGGCAACAGAAAAATTTAAAAGTTGTAGCAGAAGTTTGAAAAAAGCCATATACTGTAGTCATAGAAATTATGTTTTAGATATCTCAAATAAGGCGTCTACAAATATGAAACAATTTTGGGCATACATTAGGGCAATTAAACAAGATTCAGAAGTTATAAGTTTTAAAATAAATGATGGTGTTGTAACAGATGCAAAAGAGTTAGCAAACCTATTTAACGATAAATTTTCTAGTAATTTTTGTAATGATGATGATGATAATGACTTACTTTACAACTCTGATATTGTCTCAAAACACCATATGGAATTTGAAAAATTTAATGTGATGGAGGTTTATCAGGCCTGTCTCTTATACACATCTAGATGTGTATGTTTGTAAGATTATGGAAAAACTTTTATGTAAACGAATAAGTAATTTCTTAGAGTTCAATAATTTATTATCAGATAATCAGTTTGGTTTTAGACATGCATATAGTACTGCATTGTTACTCACAAAGGCATTTCATTCATGGGCTCAAAGTTTAGAATCTAAAGATTGTAGATGTAATTTTCTTAGATTTTTCATCTGCTTTTGATAAGGTCCCACATAAGCGTTTACTTAAAAAGCTTAATAATATTGGTATAAACAAAACTGTAAATAAATGGATTCAGGACTTTCTTTCAGATAGAAAACAAAGAGTCATCTATAGAGGTGAAACTTCTAAATGGAAGAGTGTAATATCAGGAGTTCCTCAAGGGTCAGTCATTGGCCCTTTGTTATTTTTAATGTATGTAAGTGACCTTGAATATGGTATAACATCTTCAATTTTTCAATTCGCTGATGACAATACGATTTCAAGACCTATTTATGGAATAGACGACTGTATTAGGCTTCAGGGTGATTTAAATAGGATTGTTGAATGGTCTATTGTTAACAAACTGCCGCTAAATGCATCTAAATGTGCAACTATGAGTTTATCTAGGTGTAAAGAGCCTCTTATATGGGACTATAGTATAAATTTTGAAACAACTGAAAGTCCTTGAATTTAAACTACTTGGTGTTTATATTAACAATAAGTTATCATGTCATTCCCATTTGAATTATGTTAGTAATAAGGCAAGCAGACTTCTTGGTTTTGTTTCAAGATGTAGTAAGGCAATGTCTTGGATGGCTATGCTCAATCTTTATAAAACTTTAATATTACCGGTTATGACGTACTGTTGCTGCATGTGGGCACCTACTGAAATTTCAAATATTTATAGACTAGAAAGGGTACAAAAAAAGGCAACTAAAATAATTATGTACAGAAAGGAAGGAAATTGGACACGTCATATTTATATAGATTAAGGATTTTGAATATTTTAAGCATGGAGGATATTTTTAAAGTATATCGACTAACGTTAGGTTTTAAAATAATGCATGGACAATGTCCATTGTCGTTTAATAATCTTGTGAGATCAATGAAAAGGTGTGAAGGGCGATTAATACATTGGAAAGCCAAGACTAATACATTTTTAAATTCATCTTTTGTTATTTTTCCTAGATTATAGGAACAACTTCCTAATGAAATTAAACAATGCACATCCATTTCGGACTTCTATTAATTATCTCTATTTTTCATTTTGTTTTAGTTAAATCAATTTATTTTGAATTTACTTTTTTGTATATATTTATATTGTATTGTCATTGTATTTGTTTTTGATGATGGAGTAAGAGCAGCTTACTGTTTGGGCTTATGCCTATTACTTACTCCTGGCAAGAATATTGTATGTATACTTTTTACTCTGCCGAATAAATATTATTATTATTATTATTAATTACCTTAAAAAAAAGTTACCCTATGCTAAAAATGGAAGAGCCATGCCTACGTCACCGCTTTGTAAAGCCTGGCTGCTTTGCAAAGCGTGTCTGACTTAAGTCTCGCTGCTGGTCTGCAACAGGATCTCTATCACTGCGGCAGTGCCGATTAGACCAGGCTATAATTGAGATAGGTGCCACTTGGAGAGGTAGAAATTCTCATATGGTTTTTCTAGACCAGTTTTTTATGGGGAATCAGAATGTGAGGTAAAAGGGGTGTAACCTGAGAACTTTCGCGTGAGGGCGCTTTTTTCAAAATGGCCGCCAAAATCCAATAAACTACATATATATGGGTAAAGCAAGCACAGAAGAGGTAGGTTTGACCAACTTTTGAATATGTAATGATAGGAGTAAAGTATAACTAGCTAAAGTTATTAATGTGAAGATTTCGGGAGGCAACTGAGGGCGCTTTTTAAAATGGCTGCCAAAATTAAGAAACAACTTATATAATGTGCTATAAAGGACATTCTTCAATATACTCAATATGTCAGCGATCTCAATAAATCGTGGATAAATAGCTTTTAATAATAAGCAGATCGCTTTTGTTAGTCGGACCACCGTGCTGCAACGCGTACCGGTACTAAACATTTAACACCTTTCTAGGTGGGACATGGTCTCCACAGCAGTGGAGTACCTTTTTGCAGAGTATCAGAACAAACAACAACCTCGAAGGTGTGTATGAATAGGGCCTACATTTGCAATGCTTTTATAAGCATGACATTGGTAATGGTAACTCAAAATCAACAGCAAATTAATTATATTTTATGTTTTATCTAATCTTTTTCCCGGGTTTCTAATTAATCATATTTTTATTAATTTTTTATACCACTTTTTTTTTCTAGTGTGGCATAACAGATTGAACCACAAGACGCACTCTTCTGCCCTGAACATGTACAGGTCGGTTGGCTTACTTAATTTTAAGTATTCAGAAATGTAATTTGAACTGGCATACAACTGTGGAAAGTTTGTAGGGTGCAGCGCATTGTATTTGCAAAAAAAAAAACGCTTTCTGACCTGATTGGATCGGACTGCACAATTGTCTTCAAAAATATAAATAATTATAAAGAATTATTGTTGCATTACTATTATTTTTATTATTATTATTAATATTATTATTACATTATTATTATTATTATTACATTATTATTATTAAATTATTATTATTGTTAAATTATTATTATTATTATTAAATTATTATTGTTATTATTATTATTACCATTTTATTATTATTATTATTTTAATTAAATTTTGTTAACAATTAACGCTATACAGTATAACTTTTTAAAATTTCACTCATTTCTTTTTCTGTTCAAAAATAAAACCTGCGTTTTTTTTTCTTTTTAAAGGCTCATCGCATCACTATGGACAGAGTCTGAGGTCATAAATCTTCAGATTCGTTTGGTGTCGGAGAGCAAGATGGCAAAGCGCCAACGAAAGCAGACCAAAACCAATCAGGGAAGGATATTCCAACTGTGGGCAGATTTTCAAACTGGAACTCTATCAGCTAGGCAATTTTTAAGAGGGCGTGCCAATGTCTACGGGCATGCACCAGATGGCCATTAGGCTAGTATGTAGTGCTATAGACTAAAACTCAACACAGGGGTATGCGGGCTGCGCCTTAGGACCTGAACGATCCTACCCCGGGATATGATGCATAGTTCAAATGTAACATACTGTTTGTGTAAAGAGTATAACCTTAAATGCCTATAGTGCTGTAGACTAAGCTGGGGCCGGTCTAGCGCTCTAGGCCAAGCACCCTGGCCTAGGTTTTAAGTCAAAATAGGCCTACACTGTTAAAAATCACTGTAGTTTTGACAGTAATTTACTGTAATTCACTACAGTAACATACTGTATTTTTCATTTTACGGTATCATACTGTAAATAGTAAAATATACAATAGTCTACTGTATTTTACAAAATGTTGACAAATATTTTACAGTAGCTTAGTAGACTACTGGAAAATCGCGGCTTTCCAGTATTTTACTGTTTTTATCGAGCATGATGGGATAGTGTGGCATCATCATCAGTCATCATCATCTTTGGCGCTCAAACTCGGTCGGCGAACAGCAGATAACCACGCACAGTATTCCAGGTTAGTAACTGCATGATAATTGTTTTATTTCGAGTTCTATTTTAAAAATATCAGGAACCTAGTATCTACTACAGTACTGACTGATAACAATATTCATAAATATACCTTATTTTTACTGTAGACACCTAAATGATAGAATAAGGCTCGTTAGGCGGGTCTCTTCCTTCCCCGTACTCAGCATCATCACGTTGCCCGCTGGCGCTGCGCGGTTATCGCCTTAGGCTCAATCAAGAGGGGTTCTTTTTGGCCGTCTATTTTTTGCACGAAATTTAGAAACCTGATTATTTAAACAATCTTTATTATTTTTAATGCACTAAATTTATAAACTTGATTATTCAAACAATCTTTAACATACGTAAATTATACACTTTATTGTACGATGTATGTAGCAGGCACACCTGTAAAAACCTGTTAATAGATGGTGAAAAGTAACATGATACTTGTAGTTTACAGAGGGTTTATAGATATGACCTATTTTTATCGTTTGTTTACTACTTCTTGGCGATATATGTATCTTAATTCCCTTGAATTATTATATTTGAAATTGTATGCCAAATTTTTGTTACCAGCTTCAACTATTCAAAAAATTATTGAAGAATTCCAAGAAATACACTGTATCGGTCCGTCATATTTTGTAGCTAAACTACATGAGAAGCTTGTTTCAAGGAACATGTGTAATGCTGATGAGGCTAATCAAATAATCACTCTACGTAAGCTTGTTGGTATGCTAATGAGAACATTGGGAATTCCCTAAAAGGGTTTCCCTGCCTTTTTTTTTTTTTTTAATCTTTTGTTTTCAATTTTAGTATGTATACTTGTGACATATGCCAGTATTCTTCTGAGTCTGAGTCCATTTAAAAAGTGTTTGAAAGCATTTAAAATAAAATCATCATTCACTTCACACTTGTCCCGAAAACACAAAGATCATTCCATTACACTTTTGTGTGATTTACAAAATAGTGACGCACAATCAAAATCCAGTGAGCTGCAGAACCTACTGTCTCAAGATGATATTCAAGTTTATGATAATAATGAAGCATACGATGATGATGATGATGAGGAAGAAAATGATGACGATTTCACTCAATTCATTAATATTGACAAAAATATGTATCTTAATTCCCTTGAATTATTATATTTGAAATTGTATGCCAAATTTTTGTTACCAGCTTCAACTATTCAAAAAATTATTGAAGAATTCCAAGAAATACACTGTATCGGTCCGTCATATTTTGTAGCTAAACTACATGAGAAGCTTGTTTCAAGGAACATGTGTAATGCTGATGAGGCTAATCAAATAATTAGTGAATTAGCCAAAAAAGACCTTTTTAGTGCATGTAATAATGGTGTATTAAGATCAGATCAAACATGTAAAACATTCTACAAAAAAGCATTTCACTATGTGGAACCTATCCAAATTTACTTAGGAGTAAGCGATACTGGAAAACATACATTTTGTGAATATGTTCCTATAAATAATACCTTGAAAGCAACCTTGGATCCCATAATAATGGGGGGTTTACAGAAAATTTCAGTACAACTAAAAATTGGTGTCGTTATTGCCTGCTGGATAGTTCAACTTTTCGATTAGATCCAACATCACTTGGCCCTATAAGATCTGTTGAAAGCTATAAGCATTGTGTGCAGGAGAAACTTAATGATCCTTCCTCGGAGTCATTTGGAATCAAATTTGATTCAATATTTAATGAGTTAAGATATATTTATGTATGTCAGCCAGGGCATGATTTGTTTGAAGGTGTTGTTTCAATAGACCAAGCTTTATTCGTTAATTATTTTGTAAAGGTCAAGAAATATTTCACATATCAGCAGTTGAATAGAATAATTGGGAAGTTCAAATACCAAGAAACTGATTCCAACAACAAGCCATGTGAAGTAAACATTAAAGGGGAAAAATTAGGTGGTCATGCTGCACAGAATTGGTGTCTTCTAAGGTTATTGCCTATTTTTGTAGGTGACAGAATAAATGATCCATTGGAGGATACAATTTGGCAATTAGTCTTACAGCTTAGGGAGCTTGTGAACCTAATTTGCGCTCCTAAAATTAGTTGCAATCAAGTGGCGTACTTGGGTGTACTTATTGTTGACTATATTGAAGGACGAATTTCTGCATTTCCAGAAAATAAGATAAAACCGAAGCATCACTTCTTACTACATTATCCCCAACTAATTCTTAAATTTGGCCCTCTTATTAGACTTTGGACTTTACGTTTCGAAAGCAAACATACTTATTTTAAACGTTGTGCTAGGCAATCACAAAACTTTAAAAATATTTGCTACACTCTTGCTACAAGACATCAAGCAGACAAAGGGATAGAATTTTATGTTTCCACTTACAACAGCAAAATTGAAGACTCTGTTAAGGAATTTCAATTCCTTCCAGAAAACACTATTGTTTTAAACCGTATTATATATAAAGGTACATTATATAAAAAAGGTTTGCTTGTGCCCCTTGAAGAAAATGCTACTGGTGTGGTGTTTGGTAAAATTGAAATGATCCTTAACTATTGTAGCTCAACAATATACCTTATTACACAAATATGTCAGTCAGTTAAGGTGGTAGATCTAGGTGTGTATTCTTTGGTTTATGACACTCCTGATAAACAACAATATAGTTGTGTGCAAATTGATAATTTATTAGATTATTATCCTTTACCAGAATACAAAATATGTGGTTTGATGCTTGCTTCACTGCATCATGAACTGTGTTATAAATACTAAATTTTCAGAGCGTAATGGATGATTTCATAAAGAATGCTATACAGTCTGTATTGCCATCTCTGAATGAGGATTTGCTTATGGCTGTGGTAGAGCGGTTGAATGGCCATGGTGTAGAAACTGAAGAGGACCTTCAATTTGTGACAGAGGATGATGTAAAAGATCTCCTAAAAACAATTCAGCCCCGTAAACTATTATCTAGTTGGAATAAGAATGGTAAGTTCTTGTAATGTAATGTGTAATGTAGTTCGATTTATATAGCGCTTTATACAGAAGCGCTGTGGACTATTAGCTCGTACAGTAACTTTCTTCTCCCCTAAGGGTCTCTGCATGTCTGAGCTACCCAGTAAACCGGTACCAGGTACCGTCGTCTGTCCACAACAGGGGCTGTATG